AGCCGGGCCGTACTTTGTAGTCGCATCGGTGGAATTTGCGTCGTAATCATTACCGTAGCTTGTCCTCCTCGCACAATTCACGCGCAGAAATCATTCCTGAACGTGCGGAACGTTCCAGTCCTTCCTCAACAATTGTTTCAGGCACGTCCCCAGACGGAACAAGTGTCTAAGAAATGTCTTAAGGGCGTTCCATTGTTTCAGATATCCTTCGGACGTTTTTAAAAGATCTTGGATACATTTTCTCCTACCTGAGTTAATGCGATACACTCTGAAAGAAAAAAGCGCTACGTTCAATAAAGATCTTCCAAGGAAGTAATTATTTTACTTGAATTAAGTAAATATTATTTAAATATAGCACACTAAAAGAAGAAAAGAGCTATATTCAAGTAATATTTACTTGATCCAAGTAAAGTAATTATTCCAACACTCCTTAGTAAATATTTACTCGAATGTAGCAGATTTTTCTTCTCAGTGTGCGAATGTTACGCAACAATGATGGTATTTCGTTGTATCGTTTCCGTTTCGCAAAAACGAAGACCATCATGATAACGCGAGTGAATCGCAAGGGGAAGGCAAAAGAACTCCTCGGGTGTCAGATCGCATCTGGCATCTGCAATCAACAGTCACATAGTTCCAGTGACGTCACGTCCGGTCCTGTGCGCCGACTAAGCAGAAACCGCGTAACCGAACTCTATCTGCGGGAAACGATTTCGTAAAAGGAGAGACACACTGCCGCGAAGCACGTGTCGCATCGGGACACGGGCATGTTTCAAAATAAAGAAGAATCAAACGGATCGAATACAGAAGGGGAAAGGGCGATACGGGCGAATCAGATCGAGAACCTCGAATGCAACTTCAGTGCACGCCATAATGAGGGTGGTGATCAGGTGGTCGCAGGTACCGTTTAATTCGAAGCACGTAATCAACTGTTAACCCTCCCTCGTTATGAATTCCGCGTATGAATCCAATCGGCGTTGAGAATATGGAAGTAAAATTTAAAAAATTAAAGAAAAGGGAATTAGGGAGAAAAGAATAATAAAATTAAAAACGAAAAAATCAAAGGGGAAATTAAGGTAGAATTTCCTACGAATAATTAATTGGCGCTCGCCATTGTTAATTTAGGATGCCTCACATTATGTTACACAAGATTATGTGTTAATTAATATAAAGATACCAGCTCTCGATAAAATGTACATGTATCGTAATTGTGCGTATGACGCACACGATAATTTATTATTTACCTACATCTCATTCTTTCAAAGATAAGGAAATTGTAAGGATTAAATTGTTTGATGATGCTGCGCTCTGAAAAATTATTCTTTATATATTGATTTTATTTGACGACTTACTTTTCTTTATCGACACTTGAGTTTTATAATTGAACTAGTAGGAAGACATAAATTGCTTCAACGAGCAGTTAATTATCTTTCAATTTGCTTCCGTAGCGAAATAGCTGTGCGTTATATTATTTTACGCCCTATTAATAAACTCGTTACTACACTTGCTTGACTTGCTAGCTATATTTGCTTGGTGCGCATTATAAAGTACGTATCAGACATGATATTTAGATTTATAGATATATCGCATCGCATAAGAATTAAACGACAAACAATCTTTAACTAGCTTATTGCCTCAATTAATATTTATATACATATCCTTCATTATTAATCATATATCATTATGTAAAATTATGCAAATATGTAAAAACATCATATTTTCGTTAAAAGGCTGTTTTTACTCTTAGGACCATCTTTTAGCCGAATAAAAAAAAGTATTTCGTTAGATTCACACGTACTTTATATTTCCAAAGTTACAATGTAAAATTTAACGATACTACTGTATCAAATACACATATATGCATTGATGAATTACGCAATACCACATTGCGCCAGTGCGGATTGAAATTATAAAGTTGTAATAATCGCAGTTAAGCGCTTACAATAATTTTATGCGTGATAATTATTACCACGTGGGGATTCTAATCATGTTTACTTCGTATGATAGCCATTGTGAAAAATATAACCGCGATATCGCACTCATTGAGCAAACATAATATTTCGATCGTTAAATTAGTTATTCATTCCGAAGCATACTCTAATCTATTCGAATATAAGATTGATTCATAATTTCAACTGACCCAGCCGAGATTGTAGGTCATCGTTAAACTTAGAATCGAAACATTATAAAGTGCTTCAGAGATAAATTGTTGTTTATTTCAAAGGCTATCCTCACAAGGCCTGAAAGTATTTTCATTTTTGCCATTTAACGTATATTGCGTCATTACAAACGATCGTCGTTTCTCGTCGTTAATTTAAACGTCCGATCTCAGAAAATTACTTATGATGGCTAAACTTAAAACTCTATAAAGATTAATAATAAAATCGCATGTATGTGCAGACCGTAAAATCTGTCTTTCAATTATGCTAAAATGAACGTGCTTGTCGACAAGGAAGAAAAAACAGCAAAATATAAATAAATCGTAAATAATTAGAATCTTAAAAGATCCACTCGGTATGTTTATATCAAACTTAACTAATGTCTAAAATATAGTCAATAAAACATATTTAACAGACATGCTAATGGAACCATATCAATCGAATGCTTTCGATTTGAATCCAAGACAGAGCTTATGACGTCATTAATCTCATTAACCGATGTAGATCATCCGAAACTCCGACCCCTATCTTAAGAAGGTTACGAAAGGAGTACAAAAATCAGTCAATTAAAACTCTGCAGCAGGCACAACTTATTCTGAAACATTTATTGAAATATTTATCAGGACGTCATTTTTCGTAGGAATATCTGATTCTTCTCCCTGGTGGGTTTAGAATGTTCTTTTCCCGATTTAGGCCGGATGACCGAATCGCAACAGACCACACAAAAGTGACGTGCCACTTCGCGGATATCACACGTGGAAAACGGAATATCAACAGGGAAACACCAGATGTAAGTTTTGCCGATGTTACCGAGAGCCAGTTGACCCCGTGCAATTACCGTCGAACACGGGGAAAGAGGACACACGGGCGAGATCACGAGAGGATAGTAAAATCGCAAAAAGCGCCGCGACGCCGCATCGTCGCGCAAAAATCGGAGAGTCGGCCGGGCGGCGGCCCGGAGCCGAGATAGGGCAAAGGGTTAGGCGAACAAACATCGTTAATTCGCGCGCGGCTTTCAGCCCCAGCCCGGGTAGAAGCCAAGGGGTCAACATTACCGCGGTTACGTGTGTATGCGCAGCAAATACTCCTCGCCTCGGTACGCACTCGACAGGCCAACGCTGAATTTCCACTCGGCCGCGGCAGGCCGGGAAGGGGAACGGTGACCCCCTTCGATCACCAACCTAATTGTCTAATTGGCAAATAAATCCCCATTGTTTTCCAATCGCGCGATCGATATGTGCTCGCCGAGACGGGCGAGCTTAACGCGCGGCCGTTTACTCGCTTTTCCGCCAGTTAGTGCGTTCGTCAGTGAGCCCGAGAGAGGCTCTCCTAAATGCTGCCCGGTCGAGATGGATTATGTGCCGAATACTTGACATCCTCCTGGGTGTCACCACTCGCACGATCGATCGCTCGATTCTGCACGGGTGCAACATGTGCGCGGAACGCCCGGCAGAACGCGAGCAAAGGGCGAGAGGCTCCGCGGGATACCGGCACTTTCAGCCTGATCTCGTGAAAACCAGCCATCGAATTCTACGTTCTTTCCTTACTCCGTACTTTCGTCCCGCATTTCGTAAAGCCAATGTCCGATTAATACCAACTGACACTGTCATAATATTAAAATTCAATGTTGTCACTAATAATACACAAATAATTACAGCTCAAGAAAGTCATTCATTTTTTTTAATCATTATAACTCCTCGCTCAACAATGTAACCGTTGTATACAATGTATACGTTGTATCGTGCTTGCATTGTTGTGTGGGAAACTAGAACATCGATGTAATTTTATTCTTACTCGATGCTTACATCGGCTATCGGTTCAGCTTTTGCTTCTGCAAAGAATACTAATGCGAAAGATTAGTCGGAGAAATTCCTTGGATGCGAGAGAGAGAGAGAGAGAGGGAGAGAGAGAGAGAGAGAAGTGTATGTCGCTTCTGCATTTACATGCAGAAACAGAATGAATCGTGTATTAGAGCTGAATCCACGTTTCTCTCCGAGAACAATACAGCAGGTGAGCCTCACTAACAAACTATTGTCCGATAATCGTTCGACTCTGCCTCCTTCCAATTCGCTATACCATTAGTTCACTCTCTAACGAGACGTGCTTTACCTCTGTGGGGAACTTTAATGGTGTACTGTAGTACACAGATCGATTCTCGCATGCACGATAAACAGTAACGTGGTACGCGCGATTTAATTTGAAGTAATGAGATTGATGGAAAAAAAAAAGAAAGAAAGGAAATAGCTGCGCGTAGTCACGAACTCTGTGTAGTTACGAAGTTGTTTGCACGTGAAAATATCCCGGGTGGAATAAGAAGTAAAAAGTGTCGAAATGATGAGGGAATGGTCGAAAAGTGAGTTTTCATCGATATTTTCTCGTCATTCTGCCGCCATCGCGATGTTCTATCTGAAACAGAGTGTAATTGAACGCAGCCAACGTTCGTACGCGGATAGAACTCGTCGGACGGAAAAGTCCTCACTTTGCAAGCAAGGATTACGATACACAATAAAACGATAGTCTGGACATATTAATTAAAAAAGGTAGGACGAGCTCTGTAGGATATTCCGAGGAAACTATCTCGGGCTCCTTGATTGCTTGACGATGGACAAACGACGATGGATATCGGATAACAGCGAAAAAGAATAAGGTTGCAGACAGCGAACCGACACGGCTAAGCGCAAAGCTCACAAAAAGGCAAGCAGTGAGCAAATTGACCAACCACAGTCGATTCTTGAACTGTAAGGAGAATAATCGATCGTGGTTGGTCAATTTGTTCATCGCTTACGTTTCCGCTAGCGCTCTCGATTTCGACAGTCGGGGACAGAATCAAAGTGAAGTCGCTCGTTCTGTACATAATGATCACATATAATATCTTTTCCTTTGAAGGCTCCACTCCCGTATACAATTAATGCAAAACGTCCGATGTACCGTCGAGCTGGCGAATCGAATCTCATTCGCCGATGATTAACCACTTATCCGTTATATTTTCAATTTGCTTGAAAAGAATCGGATTCCTCAGACGGATTTTCAACTCCAGTTTCCCTCCCGCTGCCTTTCTGCCGTCCATAAGCTGAAATGGCACGGATGAGTTTTTTCTTTACTCTGTATATAAAACACCGAAGGACGGTATGCGATATTAATGAATTGTCTACTTACTGGGAAGGAATCGTGCAAGGTGCACCGGTTTTCTAGAGGTTGCAGCTTAACCATCACTGTGCCAAGAAGACTGTCGCTTCGGAAGAAACCGCTGTAACATCGTAAAAAGACAGACGGCAAGTGAAAAACGCAGATACTCGGAAGGATTGTTCTCTCGCGTCGCGAAAATTCCAGCGTACGTCGTCACAAATTGTTCAGATGATACAAATATATACAAAACACTTTGCGTCAAAAACATTCTAGAATCTGTGAGAGAGGTTGTAAGATTTTTTTCTAATAAAGACGGAAGTACGTTTCTAAAAATGCGAATATATCGAAAACGGATTGTAAGAAAAGAAAGATTCTTGAACTTTTCGAACCACAGTATCACTCACACATACACAAGCGAGTGGCTTACAGACGTACACTCGTTCAAGAGACAACGTCGGTCGGATTGGATCTTACTTAATAAATTCTTACTTTATCGCACATCGCAAAAGCGAACATAGAAAGCGCAAAACCCAACAACGCTTTTGGACACGACTTTTAATAAAGAGCGACGTTATAAAAAGAGACACGAATTTAACACCATACATATTCTTTCCCTGTCTCTTCCCCTCCTACACATATATTTACTTCTACGGCCAATTCTTAAAGGCTTCCTTTTTTTTATAATGAATTAAGAAAACGTCATATATAATGATACATCAACGCTTAAAAATGTGCTTTCGAAAGCTCTTGTGTATAATAAGCTGCATACTATACGATAGTATGGAGATGATGTCGTACCTGGGATGAGTGCAACACAGGATGGGATTCAGTGAGCATCTGCAAGAAACGTTCTTACTTTTTTATATACGATATATATAATCACATTTTGCAAAATTCTCTGTACTTTTATGATACTGTTAACGGGGTATATTGGAAATCCACCATTAGTCGTTCTTTATCTACACACACTGCTTTCATACGTGTGTCGAGTCCATTTTTCTTCTCACCAAAAGATACACCAAAGGACCGATAGTCTTCAAGTTACAGACAAGTAAAAATAAAGAAATTAAATACAAAATTAGTCGGACATAATTAGTTAGGGCAATATTTCACAAACGAAAGTTCAACGCGTGAAATTGATTAAACGAGAACTTGCGTTTACGTTTTAGAAAATTTCAAATTGTTTCTCAAGATGCGCTTTTGGAGGGAGGAGAGTATTATTCCGCTCGTTGATTTCGCAGAGTACCTTCTAGCAGAATAAACTGGCATACAGTAAGTTAAAAATATCCAAATTAGAGTGTGTTAGAGACGCTGCTGATCAAATTACCCTTTTGCCCAAACTTCACACTTCAGGGCGTGTCGTTTGAACACTCTCTGGCATTGTCTGGCGGTGCGATTTATGATCCCGTTTAAAGGGAACACTGCCTGGTACTCGGGATTGGCGGAAGTCCTGACCGTCGACGTTCTATCCGTAGGATGGCTGTCTGATGGGAATGGAAATTCGAATATCACGTACGTATCCGCTTCTCGGGGATAATTGATTCCCCTGATCACAGAAATCTCGATATCGCCGTCGTTTAGGTCCGTGCAACTCCTGAAAATAACAATCGTCCTCGGAATTAATTCTCTTGTCGCATGTTTGACGAAGAAAGGAAGCGAAGTCGAACGATTAGCGTACGTGATACCTTCTTCGAGCGCCCTGTGCGATCGGAAAGATTACAACGATAGATATCGCGCGACAATTTCAACAGCTCGTTTTATATCTCTCACGTGTCTATCTCGTATTATCCACGTGCATATGATACGCTAAATATTGACGTTTCAAATGCGATCACACGTGTCGATGGTCGGGAGGATAATTCTATACTAACTGTACTATTTGATAGGTCTTGGTCTCGTAGTGGTGCTGTGGTGGCGGCAGTGAATTGCGCTTTCGGACCCGCAACATATCCAAGTCTCGCGTGTAGCTGAGCGCGAGCCGCTCCCACTTGTTATACCCAGGCACGTCTCCCAGTGCTTTCGAGTGATCTCGCGTGGACAAACACCACTGTAACATTAAACGATCGTTTCACCGACAACCACGTGTCGCAATCCCAATGTATTATTTCAACGTTACCTTAATCTGTTTGATCAACTGGCCCTCGAGATTCTCATAAATTTGATCGTCGGTCCCGCTGGGGCCTTCTATCAAGTCGTCAGCCGACACCAGTGTGAAATTATCATCTTTCTGGGATATACTGAGTTCTACTCTTTCACGAGGAGACAGTGGAATCGAATTCATGTCAACAGGCAGGCCGGCTTTGCTGGCTTCTATCAAAGGCTGTATCCCTTTCGCCTGCCTGAGGTAGTCACGCGCCAGATCCAAGTCCCCGTCTTTCTTCGCATTTAGAGCAGCTTGCTTCAATTCACGCTGCCGTAACTGCAGCTGAATCATTTGCTTCTCCGCGCGCGACGTAATTCGTTGATTCGGCTTCTGACCTGATGAAGAGTGCAACGTGGAAGATCCATAAATATAGAGAGTATTGTTATTACGATATAAATTATATTATATTTTACATATAATAACAAAATAAGTTATATTTGTCATTGATATATATATATATAAATAATAGCACAGACCGTAGAATAATTTACATGCAAGAGTTCACTATTTTTTACCTGTTCTAGGAGGCGGTACTGGTGGTTTCGGTGACGCAGGACCCGGCGCAGTATTATTTTCTGGTACCACGGGTTCGGGTGGCTGTGGCGCAATGTTGCTCTGCGAATTGGCCGACAACGGCGGGAAACCAGGTGGAACGGGCAACTCGTCCAATGCTACCGGCTTACCGCGAGCGTGCAACTTGACAGCGTCCTCGAACTGTTTGCAGATCCTACCGTATCTACGTGCTTTTGAAACATTGCCCTCAGTCTCTGCGGCTACCTTCGTCCTCCTGTACACCTCGAGGCGCTCCTTGAGAGCGCCTGCGATATCCTCGGGACCGATCTTCGCTTCGCCTGAATCAGCTTTCAACATAGAATATTTGCGTTATTGGAATTCTATCAAAATCCTCTCCATAAAAACGATCCAAGAATATTCTAGAATATTCGGCATGAATTTTATGATACATGCATGGACACGTTTTACGTAACTCTTATTATATATTACAAACACGAATTTATGTAAGAGCCCACTTTGTTATTAGGTCTAAATCTTTGTACAGGTGCAAAGTACAAACGCGACCTCTGTACAGTTGCACTTAATAATATGAAAGGTTTATACTGAATAATAAACACAAGTAAGTACGTTTTAACGAATATTCAATCTTTGTATATTTCTTCATCGCATAAAAGCATAAATTGATGATACATTCAACATATATTCAACATCTACATCTCACCTGTAGGTGATACATCTGTGGAAGCTTGCTGTTGAACCTCGCTTTCTCCTTTCTCCGGTGGTGCCGCAGCACCCGCCGGGGGAGAAGGTAAGGTCGGGGTAGGTGGCATATCTGACAGATCGAGCTTCTCACCCGCAGCAACCGCGGCTATAACTATGTCGAATTGTTTGGCAGTTTTTGCATACTCTATCGCTTGTTCTTTGTTGCCCGCCCTCTTCCAGGCAACCGCTGCGACCTTGTACTTTTGTTGCTGCATCCTCAATTTTTCTAACGCTTCCTGGTCGACTGTGACGTCACCTGCCGGTTCAGAATGATCTTCCAGAACAACAAGTGGTTCGTTGTCTTCAGTTTGTACCGTGACTGCGGTTGGTGTTGTGACTTCAATTGGTGTTTCCTCTGTAAAAAAATACAAGATAATAAATAAATATTTAAAATGCCTATTCTTTTATGTATTTTATATATATACATATTATATATAGAATGAGAGTCGTACATTATAATGGTCTACTCTGTATATAAAACAATTCTTACTTATATTTTCATCTGTAGATTCCGCAGTAGCCGAAGGAGGCAAAACCGGGGGAATCTCATCTTCATTTACACTTCTGCCCGATTGTGCAGAAGCTATCATCTCCTTGAGTATCCTTGCACCTCTATTATATCTTCTGGCTCTGCTGGATTCATTTTCATTCTTCGCTTTTTGTTCAGCCGTCTTATAAGTCGTCAGTCTTTCTTGCAACAGCTTGATCAGTTCCGGTGAAGGACCATTTTCTCCCTTGGCTTCACGATTGTCAGGCTCCTCTTGTTCTTCTTCTGCTACTTCTAACTCTTTCACTTCTTCCGTCGCAACCCCAACTTCATCACCTGTGAGTCCTTGTAACTCTTTCTGAAACAAAGAGAAACTTGAAATACGATTCAACGACAAACTTAATTGCGATCTCTCACCAAACATTGTATCACATACCAATAGTGCAGGGTCGTCATCCCCTTCAGATCCCTCATCACTATTTGTGTCTTTCATGCAGTCCGCCACCATTTCATCCAAATTTGCACCAGCAGTGGGTTTAAGCCCAGCTATAACAATACATACACGTGATATAACATAAACGCCAACACTAAAACATTAAGCTTGCAGCAATTCTTAAGTCAGAAATTTTTAAACTTGCTCATAAAGGATATACAATCTATAAACTATCGGCATACCCCTATTTCTACGTTTGTAGCCTGTGTCATTGCCAGCTGTCAGGGCAGCTAATTCAGCTTCTAATTCCTCATCGTTGTCGTCATCTTCCATTGTATTGCCACCAATATTGTCTATACTTATATCAGGCACTTCGAAGATACCATACTATATGCGGGACGTAATCATTAATAGGAAACAAAAGAGAAACAATGCACATCAATTTATTGTACTACACAGTATTCATGTAAAACTGAGTTCAAAGGAGAGGTGAATGCGCAGTATAGATTATTATCATAGATCATCTATCAAACTTGTGGGATCGTAAGAATTAAAATTTGCTATTTTCTACAAATTATCGACGATTAATTTCCGAATACACGAAATGTGTGATTCCAAAAAATTGTCAGGCAACTTTACATCGCGCGTTTGACACCAACAAATGACATAATACCTGCTCCAGACCACCGACTTGCCTATGTCGTCCTTCTTTTTTCTTGCCAAACATGTTACGCCTTAATCGTGGGACGGTACAGCGTACGGATTTGACAGATACGTCAAAGCTACGGGAACTTGTAATCAACGAAACTACAGTGATGAATCAGTGTGCGACACGAGTAGGATTTTCGCGCGTGCGCGGCAATATGGTGGTGAATCCAGTAACGTACAGGCGTGTGGACGAACATTAGCTTTGGTGGGATCCGACTGGCAGGCAAGAAATAAGATTAAGATGATTTGGCGAGTACATGGACATTACGCAAATTAGTATATTAACGTTCGTATTAAAAGCACGGATGCTTGAAGTACAGATCGAACTACTAAGAGCCAAAAAATGAGAGAAAACTCAATAACGATATTTTACTCCTTTTAGATACTTCGTTGAGGCCGCGTATACTCGAAAATCCTAACCCATCTCGCGACACTAGCGCCATCTCACGAATCAGACACCCAAGCCAGTACTCCCCACTCCTGACGTAACGTCACATTCATATCCGTGTTCTTGCCTGAATACAAACGTCTCGAAATATTGTATCCTTTTTTATAGAATTGCAAGGCACAAAACTATGATTATGCATAGATCGATGTATAAGGAAGATATCTGAAACGGACCTCTGTTTTTTTCCGAGATAGATGATGGCCCATTCACCATCGTACTTTCTTATCGTTCCGCACGTGAGACGGTATTCTGAGGAATAAACCAAGAAGTTTTCTCGATGCGCGTGCGCCGATCTCGCCCCTCTACCTCTCATCACTGATCCGCATGAGAATTTGGAGGCCCTGTTCCTACAGGACAGTAGGATTGCTGCAAATTTGCCGGAGAAAAGACGACATTCATGCGGATTGGCCGTCAGTCGCCGTGAAAATTTTTTTTTTTCATAAAATGCCAGTCATCTCGCGATATCAGAAGGTGGCTTTAGGGTTGGGCGCGTTAAGCGGTGCAATATTATATTATTACAATGCGTACAGCGATAAGGACTCATTGCGAGTGCACAATTCGTGGACCACAAATTTTACACCCTCGGTGAAGTGGGATCACAACTGGGACAGGTAATTTGTTTTCGTTGAATGTATTTTCGATCGTCATTGAGGCACGCCACTTCTCTTGTGTTCTTCGCTTCGATTTTCAATGCACAACACGTGCTCCTCACTATTGTACCTATTCTGATTTTGACTCTTTGATTTAGATAAACCGGTTATATTGCGTTATGTTTACAGAAGAGATCCAAAGAGTTTAGTGAAGCCGATGAAAATAAGTGACGAGAACGATGAGAACAAGTATAATGAAAAATTCGAGGCGAAACGAGCGAAGGCTGTGCGACACGTACTTTTGATTCGCCATGGCCAATATCATACTGATGGAAAGACCGACATTGAGAGAATGCTAACTGAACTTGGTAAGTTACTTAAAAAGTAATAGACTCGATCATTTGGAGATTCTGTAAATATCTTCTCAAACACTCACCATTTCCTGGCTAGTTTCTAGAAAGACTCGCAGCTGCACAGTGTAGATTAATATGCAACTTGGTTTCTTATTTATATTTCCATCTCTTATATCGTTCTGAAAAATGCTTTGGTGCTTTTGCCGACTTAAACCTGCCCATGTATGTTTAACATGCAAATATATACCGAACTTATATTATTCTTAAGAATATATCTATTCTCTGTTGCTACAAAGGTAGAAAGCAAGCTGACGCAACAGGAAAAAGGCTAGCGGAATTGAACTTGCCTTATTCATTAATAGTGAGGTCTACAATGACTCGTGCTCTAGAAACTTCGAAAATCATAGAAAAAAGTCTATCAAATGTCCCAGTTGAGGATGATTCCTTGTTGATTGAAGGTGCACCTATACCTCCAGAACCGCCTATTGGTCATTGGCGGTCTGAAAAACACGTGAGTATAATTTCTACCTTGAAAGATAAAGGATTAATGTCTGTTTCTGCAATCTTATGTCTCTGGAAACGTGATCACAGAACCATACCAACTTTCGCTTGAAGCATTTTGCTTGTAAAATGAGGAACACCTTAAATTATTAGTGTGATACGTTAAAACGAAATATGAAAATAATACTTGTAGGTGTACATATAATATAATTGATGATTTCAGTTTTTCCAGGACGGGCCCAGAATAGAAGCGGCGTTCAGAAAATATTTCCATCGTGCAGATCCTAGTCAAGAAAATGATTCTTACACTCTTCTCGTGTGCCATGCAAATGTCATTAGATACTTTGTTTGTCGGTAAGCCTTCTCTACTTTTGATCATATTTTAATAAATATCCCTGTCTTACAATTCTTTACCATACGTATGTATTGAAACCATTTTTTTTTTTTAGAGCACTGCAGTTTCCACCAGAGGCATGGTTACGAATATGCCTGAAACATGCAAGCATCACTTGGCTCTGCATCTTCCCTAATGGAAGAGTAACGCTCTTTTGCTTGGGTGACACAGGGCATATGATACCACAAAATCTAACATCTAGCTAAAGATGTAAGACGGTTTGTACATGGAAAAATACACACACACACATCATCGTAACTTATATGGTATATAAAGATGTCCCAAAATTTGCAACCAATATTATTATTACAATGAAAAATTACGGAAAACTAACAAAAGTCTTCGTTATTATTTGCTTTAAGCAGTTATTTCTAAAACTTGTTTCTCAGGTTTATTAATTATTAATATATATATTATAATATATTTATTATTAATATTTACCTTAGTTTCATTTTTTAGATTTTTCCTATTTTTATTTTCTATTTATATATTTTTTTTTATTTCTTTAGATCTCGATATAGTATCAACTGCAAATTTTGGAGCATACTGAATATAAATAATGTATATGGTGCTCTGGAATTTTTTGGCCAAACTTCAGTACTTGCTATAAATAGAAATAAGGGAAATGGTCTATAATTATAGGCTATTTGAAGCTTTATTAAAATATAAAAAAAAAACAGTTATCTTGCTCCATATTGAGAACAAGTCCACTACTGTTTCGTTCATATTTTATATTTTTATTACAATTTGTATTTATACTCGTAGAATATATTATATATATATATTATATATATATATATTATATATTCTGACAAGATGTTTGGTCGGAAAATTCTAAAACACTGTGTATACACGTACATAATATGCATGCGCGTAAATACACACACATACACACACACATACATACATGCACATATCTTAGGTAATGCTAGTGTTGGCGGAATATCTTACAAATTAAACACTTTGATCACATTGCAACGAAAAAGCGTTTTAAATCTCTATTTTAAAAACATCGACGTAAGCTACAAAAACCACTAATAAAAAAAATTAATTATTCAAACTGTGTTTTACGAAATTGACGTATGAATAAATTAATATCTTTTTATCACGGAAATGGCTTACTCTTTTTGTTTAGTCGTCATCATATCAATGAAATTGCAACGCCCGTGTAAGATTGGCCGTAAAATTTTGTCAAAAATTCTTAGCCCTGTTATTCCATTCACCTTTATATTTAATTAGCTTTTATTTCTAAAATTAAAGTGTTTTGTATCCGTTACCTTAACATTCAGAAATTGCATGATTCTATTTATATGTGTGTGTGTGTGTGTGTGTGTGTGTGTGTGTGTGTGTGTGTGTGCGATTAAAATTTTCGTGCAGTTTTTTTGAAGACTTGTTCGTTTAAACTCGAACATATTAAATATATATACGCGATAAGAATTGCAGGGTTAAGAATAACACTAACATAACACAATTGTTGATGAAAAATTCAGTAAAAATAATTACAAAGAATGAAGAAAAACATCACTTATCTAATTATATTTTTTACAAATAATTGTGTAACAACTGTTTAAATTGTGTAACTATTGTGTGATCGAACAATGAATCCATGTATAATATATATTTTTGCCTTCAAATACATTTGATATTTTTTCTAATACTGCAAAAGAATTTGAGATTTCAATTTTCTCATGGTACATTTTTATAGCACCGTCTCATGTTCATCAGCAGATTTGATTCGAGCGAAAAGGGAATAACAGGCCCGGAATTTGCAAAAGCATTTGAATCAATAGAACAGATCAATCAATATAATTGCAACTGTTTAAATTTGCGACTCGAATAATTTATTTTGATTTGACCACTTAAGAAGTTCGAAGTAATACAGACAATATTTAATGAAGGATATTTTATGTAATATTGAAACGGAAACGGTATCACACAGGTTGTATAACAGTGAAATATTTATAAGTTAATCACATCTAAAATTATACCGCAACCAGCCTAGCTGCTTTCCTTGCATAATATCTTTGTAACGCTGCTTCAAATACTGGGCCTATCGTTCTTTTCTCCCAGATAGAGGACCTATTTTCCTTGTCAACGGCTTTCCTTTCGGTTACAACTTTTTCATTATCTGGTACAATTTCCTCACCATCTTGAGTTGGTGTTTTGCCATCTTTCATCCTGGAATCTTTAGTTTTTGTATTTGTGGCATGTTTATCCGTTTCCACGTCACTTACATCACACTTCTGTTTCTTTCTCTCCGGCTCTTCTATTTTCAACTTATCCGTATCCTCGTTAATTGATGAAGTGACGGTTTGATTTTGCTGCAAGTCCTCTTTACTCGCTTCGCTTTCTGGATCAGATTCATACGTTTCTATCACTCTTTGTCTGTATTGCCTTGGCTTTTTATGTTTTGCGACTGCTCTTGATCTTTCATCCGTTACATTTGTCGTTTCATTTATCGTTCTATTCTCTCTTGCTTCACCTGAATCGTCCGCTGAAATTCTCTGTTTCTCTGGTTCAGTATCCTTTTCCTTCGTCTTGCCACTTTTATCGTCGTTACTCTGATCCTGATAGTTAACAGTTTGTTCATACAGATGACGGTAGAATCCTGACATATCTTGCTGTTTTGTCACATCACCGATAGCTTCCAATCTGCTCATTTTGTCCTCCTCCTCTTCCATCTTCTTAAACTCTTCCAGTTTGGTCCTGTACGCTGATGTGACGAAGCTTTCCTTATCCGCGTACATCTCACCCTCAGCTTCACGTTCCTTCTGCACCATCCTCTCGATTCTGTGCTCTTGCTCCTTTTTCCTGCGCTCGGCCGTTTTCAACAGATTTTCGATGTACCTGGGTTTCTTGTCTTTATGCTTACCGGCATCCGCTTTGCTTTTGGTTTGCTCCATGGCATCGTATACTTCATCGTACTGATAAATCGTCGGGTCCTCGTCCAATGCTTTCTGCATGTTGAGTTTTGTCTGTTTCTTTATCTTGTTCTGCTTGCCCCCCGCCAAAATAGCCTTCTTGAACCAATCAGTGCCGCCGTCTTCGTCAGAAGCATCATCGTCGCCGAAAACATTGACGAGCTTTACTGGTTTCTGTTCTTGCTTTTTTGGCAAAATCAGACCATACCTGGATATTTAGAATATCAATATAATGTCACTATATAAGGATTCTACAAGACAACTTTTAATATTCCAATTACTTACTGTTTGTTAGCAGTCATTTTGATCCGATGTTGTCTATGCAGTCAAATTCATTATCAGTGAAACCTAACCCTAAAAAAATCTCGGAACAGTTCGCGATACCCACGAACTACCTGTAACCAAGATAAGCAAAATCACGTGCTATATACGAAGGCATCACGTGCACTTACGACCGTGATGTAAAGGACACCTACGACAAATTCGCAATTAGTTTCTGGCAAAAAGTATGTTTGCCTATTTATGATCCAAGTATTTCACACTCCGCTCCCTGCTGTCTACTTGCGATACTTGCAATCGGGTTATCGCGTATCCGTTATATCGCTGAAACCACATATTTTAAGGCGATCATTATATTTATTTGATGATAAAGATTCAAATTTATAATATAGGCGAATGTCTCTAAAATTGAAAGAAAAAATAACATTCTCTTTTAGATGAAGAAAGAAGTGTACGCGTTTAAATTTAGCGAGGAAGACGCCCATGTTGATCGCCTCTACGAAGGCAACATTTAATTGACCAATCAGGAGCAAAAGAGCAGAGATTTCTTTATCGTGATCACTGCGCAGGCGCGTGAGCAGCGGCTTGAAAGTATCGATGTGTTTCGAAATGCATCGGAAAAAGCTGTCGAGACCGCGAGCGACTTCACACGACTTCACCGCAATCGACAGCCGAATTGCTCCGGGTATGTGAAAAGTGTGATGTGCGAAAAATCTTTGTTGTCCGTCGACTCGTGAGTGCGCGCGTGCTTGCGAAGCTTTTGTTCGTTACCCGCATATTTCTGACGTCCTGTTTTGACTGAACGCATTTTTTGTAACCTACATCTTTTGTATACTTGATACTGTTGGGGATCCTCCTTGACCGGAATCCTGGAACCATTACTAAAAGAAAGAAAGAGAGAGAGAGAGAGAGATATGTAAAAAAATGTCAACCGCTGAAAAGTTCGACATGAAGCGATAGACAACGCGAAGAAGAAGAAGAAGGAAATAGAAGCGCAACAACAACAGTGGGATAACAGTGATCATCGCGGTAGCTGACAGCGGTGGTAATATGGTGGCGTAGGCCGACGGCGACGACGGCGGTGGTGGCAGCAGCAGCGGTAACAGTAGCGACGGCAGTGGCAACGGTGTAACAGCTGTAGCTGAATTTTCCGGAAAACCGTGGGGATCGAGGAAAATAATTCGAGTTATTTCGACACGCGTCGCGCACCTGCCGCGTCAGGCACACTTCGGCGACGATGAGGTCGCGAGTGCCTCGTTACCGACGCCCGCTCCGTTAATAACGCGGAAGCGAAGAGAGTGCGGATTTAAACGATTAAATATCGTTCGGTGGAAGCTCCTCCCGCTGGCGCGCGAACGGAGGATTTCTGGCAACGCCATGTCGCGCGTTCCCAGCTGATGTCTCCGTGTGTTTGACACCTCGGACGTGCTCCTCCGTGATTCTAAACGTGCCTGCGAATTGCGTAATAATTCTAGAGGGGGCGCGATCTTCATATACACATATAACGCGCATTTTCTCATGCGTAATTCGACTGTGATCCGATAAATACGTTCGAGAGAGAGAGAGAGAGAGAGAGAATGGCGGAGCTGGATGATTTGTTTCACAAGGATCAATATGTAGGCCCAGAGCGGCTGACCGATCTGTGCTTCAGACTGATCTGCGAGAATCTCGACATAATCTCGGTCAAGGGGAAACGTGGCCATCGGATACTGAGGAAAGGGTTAACCTTCCCGAGCGAGATATGCGACAAGATAATCGAATATGCGCAGCACAGCGAGGCGACCGAAGACGTCGACTGTTTCTTCTCGATTTTCAAGAACCTGACGGCGACCCGGCTGAAGCACGTGAAGATCGCCAACTGCAGCCTGACGAACAATTCGGTCCACACGCTCGCCAGTCACAAGCTCTACGAGCTGGAACTCACGGATTGTAGTAACTTAACGGAACTCTGTATCGAGCACATTAATGCCAATTCGGAGAATCTACATAGCTTAGCGTTTCACGGCACTTCAATGGTGATACCGCCGCATCTGATCACTAGTAAGAGTTTGCTGTCACTAATCTGTACCGTGGCTTGTCGCGTCAATGACTATGTTTACTTAATGGCAACTTAAGACCGATTCAGCGAATTCTGTAGTTCGTTAATAATAATGTGTGAACAGCGGAATCAGTTTCTAGCTTCTCTCGACGTGACTTTCGATGTTGCATAAATAATTATGACTATTGTGTGATATGTAACAGCAGTAGTTGTAATTTCCGGATCTGTCGCAGTTTTACGCTGATTATGCAAATGTAGATCACAGGCGTTGCTAATCTGATTTTGGCTTGCTATGCAAACATAGTCGATAACATCTAATATCAGTAGTAGTTGTAGTAGTAAGATAAACAAAGGCCAATAGGCCTGTAAAAAGCCCTAATGGCTTATGTATATTATATATAGTATACGTGAAACACATGAACTATAGATTTTCAATACTGACAGTAAATATCAAGCCTCTTTGAACTAGTGCAGCCAGTTCAGAAATAAAAAAAAACATACCTGTAATTGTTGTTCCATTGCACCTTCTCATTGATAAGTTGTGAAGCAAAAGGTTAAACCCAATCTGGTATTGGCTACAATAATCTTATTGGTCTATCCATTCTTGTGTTTCCTATCCTTTTTGTCTCACAAAAACCTTTCGTATCTTTTACACACATGAGTAATCCATATTTGCTGTTAATTGATAAAATATGCATACTTGATAAAATATCATCCCTTATATTCACAGAATCAATATTTGTTTTTTGGGGACTTAAGTTGGAAATGTGTTAGGACGGTCTGTCAGAGATGAAAATATTGTTTTGTTAGAAGCTCTCAATTCTCTTTTGGTCATGTTCTTGGCTAATTCGATAAGTTCCAATCATCTCAGAGCTAAGAAAACAGCGAAGAAGCTTCCAATAACAGAGATCATTTTCCCTATGATACCTCTTGGTCTGCGAATGTCTGTGTGGAAGCAATCATTGAAACCTGATCCGTCTCACCGACCAATCACGAATCTATTTTAGGATCAGGTAATACCTGACAAGAAAGTTAATCTACTTGTCCCGTTTTGTTCCAGACGATTCAACTTACGATTACTACAGACGTGGATATGTTTTTAAGACACGCAACTTGAAGCGCTTAGCATTAGGATACGTGGGGATACCTACGTCGGAATACGTCTTGCTTCTGGCAAAACTACCCAACCTGACGCATCTGGACTTATCGAACAGTTCTAACGTCGATACCTTCCGCTTTTTTCATTTAGTACCAAAACTTGTGTCTCTAACTTTGTACAACGTCAAAGTCAATAGCTCGTCGAAAGCCTTCGTGAAAAATATCTGTGAGCTGAAAAGTCTAAGGTGAGTCGCGACGTCGTGTTGCCTGCAATGTACGGAGCGAACGATATCACATCGCACGTTTAAAACACGTACGTTATATTAGTACTTGTATATATGGAGTATGCACTGTTGTAGGCACTTGGATATCTCGCAGTCAATACCCAAGCACGGACAATTTGAGAATCCCAATAAGGTCCTAGCTGACTTAGTAAATGGCTTACCGCAACTGGTCTCCTTGGATATCGGTGGTACGAATCTCGCGGGAAGGGGTGTAGCGGAACGTCCCAGTAGCGACACGAATGTCGAGGACGCTAATCTCAGTCAACTTTCCGACATACCGGGGCTCGCGTCTAGAATACACAAACCCTTACAATTCTTAGGTCTTTATGGTACAGCCCACGGTGCTTGTAGGAGGCACGACATACCGGCAAAAGTGGTGAGAGTTCTTTGAGTGTGTGAACTTCTAGCTCGTCGATCGCTCACACACCAGTGCATAGTGATTCGAAAGCAGGGGTTTCTGATTCCGAAACTCTGAATCTCGATAAAACTGACCGTTTATATACAGAGAATGTCCTTAAAAGAAAAAAGTAACTATTTTTTTATTCAATATTTATCTCACTTTCTTTTTGGATAAGTACAAGATGACTCGATTTTCTTATGAATAATTTTCTTCGAAACTGCGCATCGTTTCTTCTCTCGTGAAACTTCAAAACATGCGTTTTGGCTAAGAAGTATTTCTTTTAGATCACTATGCATCAGAGAGCGCGTGTATCCGTTAATCCTGTCAATATTCATCGTCGCTGTGTGATTTAGGTGGCGGGTGACGCGAACGAAGATCAGATATTAATTGCAGCTCATGTTTGCATGGACAATAAGCAGGAGATGTTGCAAAAAGTGCTGAGCGATCTGTATCATGTATTTAGGTACGAAAATTGCCGTAGAATGGATCAAGCGTTAAGCACCGTGTTAGAGGCGATGGAGAAGCACCCGGCTCAGAAGCACATACAAATATCTGGAAGGTATCGTACCGTGATCACTTTCGCAATCTCGTTTTGTATCGAGAGGCACAGTTGCGAGAATCGCTGGTCAATTTTACACGTGTGTGTGTGTCGATGTTGCAGCGCTACGTTATTTTACATAATGAAAATGAAAGAGAGGGTCGAGCTAGTTGCACGAATGAAAAGACGGATTATCAGTACCCTTCTGGCTGGTATGAGCGCGCACAGAGACGAGGAGACTATGATGCGGAACGGTTGTTTGGCATTGTGCCAATTCCGCATACCACAAGATGTGGTTCGTGTTGCTTTGACTGGTTTTTCTAGGTTTTCACATTCGCCACGCGACGAAATGCGTATCCGAAAACGCTCGCCGGCTCGACCGAATAAACCGATCTCACGTATTGTGTTTGCAATTAAGTTTGCACGCTCGCGTAGAAAGAGTCGCGATTGTTCGCCGAGATTTGCCGTAATGTATATTGATAAAACGGCGTTCGACCGTTTTCGTTCTATCCTCCCTCCCCCCTTTCCCCCCGTTTAATAAAATTGTTATCGCGCGCTTATTTTAGATGTCGAATTACGAGGCGCTCGTCAAGGTGCTGCTGCATTCGGCCAAGCACTCGGAACCGGAGAGTTTCGTTCAGAGAATCGGCATATACCTGTTGAATTCTCTGGCCTGTCAGGTGGAAGGCAGGGAGAAAAGACTGCTGGGCAAATTGGGCTGTGTTAAGACCATGTTAGAATTGGTGGAGTACAGGGTGCAGGCCGATATATTTGACGATGTGTTAGAGGTCGCATGGTCAACCATGTGGAACATGACCGATGAGACGTCCGTGAATTGCCAACGGTTCCTGGACGAGAAAGGCATGGCGCTCTTTCTCAAGTGCGTAGAGGTACGTCTTATTTTACGGAATGTAACCACGCTTCAGGCTCTTGTCTCCTCGCCAAGGTCATCTTGATTAACGACGTCGGAAGCGAAGGATCCAGGAGCCTTGATTCGTTGTCCACGTTCGTCGTTTCCCTTAAACCGGTATTTACACTCAGATCTCAAGTATAAAATCTGACTGTGAACACCGCTCTTATATCTACACCCGCATTTCAATAATACTCCCCCGCGCAGAAATATCCACACAAGGAAGAATTATTGAGAAATATGATGGGCTTACTCGGCAATGTGGCGGAGGTCGAGTACCTACGGATCCATCTGATGCAGGAACAATACGTAACTGTCTTCGCCAACCTACTACGCTCCAATAACGACGGAATCGAGGTTTCGTATCAGTTTCTCCTCTTTTCCCGCCTGCGTCGAGTCTCGAGCTCCCACTTGCTTCAGCTTACCCGTGTGACTGACCGGATGAGTCATCTTTCCTCACTCACCGTAGGTCCCGTACAATGCCGCTGGCATATTGGCACACATGGCGTCCGATGGCGCCGACGCATGGACAATAGTAAAGCCGACTCTCAACGAGGTTCTTAAATACATGGTGCAAGCTATCGAAAGTTGGGATCTATCCGCGGAACGTAACATCAATTACCGTTCGTTCCTACCTCTTTTACGTCTGTTGGATGTGTATCACACTCCTCCGTGTCAACATTGGGCAGCTTGGGCTCTCGCTAATCTCACTAACGTGTATCGTAAGTACACACGAACATTGCATCTATGCATTTGTTGGCATTATAACCGCTCGGTGAACTCTTTAGATTCGTGCACTAGACGCAAGCTCTCGCCGAGCTGCTCGGTGCAGTGAACGGTCGCCACTTTTGTGAGCGCAATTTCATGTCGCTCACTTACCTTCCCAGACAGCACAAACTTGTGGCAGATATCTTGATATATAATTTATATCTTGTATAAATGAACATAGTGATTAATTTCTTAATAAATTTCCTAAGACTGTGAGCGACACATCCAGTGCGTGGAAATCGCTCACCGAGCGGTTTTAGTACCGAATGCACTCATTGTTTCGGCTCTCCACTGTTTTACTATTATCTGAGTCGACGTGTGGTTTTTAGCTAACAAGTATTGCGCGTTGGTGGTGAAAGAAGGAGGGATGGAGAAACTGCACACAGTAATATTGGACCCCAGGCCGTACGAACGTATAAAAGAACTCGCCAACTATGTGATCGAGAATTGCTGTCATTACGATTGCCATTCGGACGACGTGAACGTATCCCATTCGTCTTTAGACGCGGAGTATAGTCTAGACGGCTAAAACGGATCTCGATATTGTCGTTTGCACGTCTCGATTATGTTGTCTCTCTCTCTCTCTCTAGACAAGAACAGACCGTAATACCGATATAACGTTAGCGGGCGAAGTAGACGGGTCGGATTAAAAATAAAACGCGTTAAATCGATTCTACGATGAGTTGATCCGGCGGAGAAGCGGAATGAAGCGCGGATGGAAAGGCGCGAACGGACGCTCAATAGTATAACTAGAAAGGTGTGTTGCTGGTGTTTGCGTGTAAGAGAAATATTGGGTAATATTTTGAGTCCGTTACTCGATCATCAGTATACATATTTATCGGATATCTTATTACGAAGGATTAATGTGTACAAAGCCCGCTTGTACTGCAAAAGGAAAGTTGAAACCGAGTAATAACGCGCGCATGCGCACAGCTGAAACGAGAGAAAAGGAACGACGGCACGTTTATTATTTGTCTTCTCATCTATGTGTATTAACTTTCTTACAATGTATGAATGTTTGCCCCCGGGGTTTCTCCTCTTCCTAATAAATGGTATATGATTTGCTCTCGTTAACCGGATTTTTTGAATTCACGAAAACAGTGAGATATACTACGTAGAGGGACTGCGTGTACATAGGAGTAAGGAAAAGCGGTAAGGTATGTTTAGGTTTAAATGTTTTGTATACTACCGTTATTATACTATTAAAGTCATTTGAAGAAATTGGCAACACCGACACGTATTAGATTACCACACAACTTGCGCAACTAAACGTATATACTTTTAACAAATTTCTAGATTTGTCTTTTGATAGGTTGGGGCAACTTGAGACAACAAAAATGTACGAACGAATAATTTATAGCGACTGTTACCAGTGTCAATGTAACGTACACCAGGCGTCACGTGTGCCCTAACGTTTATAATTGACGGGTAGTCGCGCGGAGTTTCAATCGTTCAGGATCAACGACCGTTCAGGATTGAGCGAAACCGTAATAAATACGTGTTACAAGTAATAGTTCTGATGTTATAAGGCATGTATGACGCCCGGTGTACGCGACGATGTAAGCGAGTAAGGCGCTCAATGCACACACCCGGTTTGTTCGATGTGTAATATAATATCGTCTAAGATTGCCGCATACATATGCGTCTCGTGTTTCTTTTCTCATTACCCTTGAAAAAAAAATGCTCGTAATTGCAGCAGCGGTCGCCACACAGGTTCATTCATATGTCGGAAGATTTCCTTCCTCTTTTTTTCTGTTTTTACGTGAAAATCTCAGTGATACAATGGTAATGCGAAGTAACGTAAAAATAACGATGACGATAATACTAATGATTCGTCTTGGCCTTTGAGTCGTTTCCACACACGTGGCATCTTATGTTTACCCATCCGGTTGCAAACTCGGATTGCCAAGACGCGAGTTAAAAATAGTTCGAAAAAATAAATCGAAAGGGCTCCTTGCTGCGGAATAATTTCGTCCGTCGGCCATGCGACACGCCAAATCACGCTTTTCTCTTTACCTCGTATTGGAAAATTCGGGAAATTCAAGTCGTTAAAGATTTCGTTTAATTAGCGGAACTGGCAGAGCCGCGTGAAACGAGGGGTCGGCAGGTGCTGCCATCTCGCGCGCCGAGCGGCGGCCGGTAAAGCAGAGCGAGACGATTCGCTTGACGTGACAATGAACAGGCATTGTGATTCTAATGTCGTCGTACGAAAATAAACAGAACACCTCGTGTTTGCGGAAGTCCGTAACAGGTGTTTTTTGCCCCCTCTTTTGCTCCTCATACCGCCGCTCTCTGCTCCCGCAGCCTCCTCTATCCTCCGTCCGAGATAGGGAAGGGGTCAGAAATGCGAGCCCGTCCGTTCGTTTTCGCTAACGTAGACACTCGTCTCGCGTTCCTCGCGCAAACTCGTCAGCCGTTTCGGTCACGGAAGTTTGAGTCCTTGAATACCCAACACGATACTGTCGCGCGGACTCACCTCGAGATTCCATAGAACGACTCCGCGAAAGAGAGAGAGAGAGAGCAGGGTTTTCGAGTATTTCGAGTCGCCTTCGCCCGTAGAGACTTGAACTCGCGAAATTTCCGCGAGAATTTTCGATTTCTCGAACAATATGCAAAGATATATACATATATATGTATATAAATGCCGTATTTGTATTTTTAAGTACATATTCAAACACACTTTCGGACTTGGAGAGGCAATTCAGCCGGGACGATTCGAGTAAATTTCCATTCGCGGTCAGATCAAGTCGAGGGGAACTTTCGTTTTAAATAGCGGGCTGTCGAGCGCAAATACTTGGAGATTACCCCGCGATAAAAAAACCTATAATGCTAGCACAGGGAGGAGAAACGTCTTCTGCAGAGCTTACCTAAGCAGCTGCACAGGTAAGAGAGGCAGGTGCGGCATATCGCGCGAAATACATGATTAAAACGCGCGATTCCTCGCTCCACGTAACTTCAAAGAGGGGACGATACGTCTTCCGATAAATTTCCAACTGATTCGTAATAAGGAAAATGAATCGGTCAGATATAATTATTTATTCATGAAGATGATGAGACAAAAGAGAGAAAGAGACGCGGTTAAAACGGCCGAAGAGATGGAAACAGAATTCATTTTCCTCGTTCCTCAATCCCCGGATCTCCGGGCGAGTGTTTTCGAAGTCTTAATTGGCAACGCGCTTACAATAACGGCGACGATAACGTCCCGCCGGCCAATCGGCGACGCCGGCGACCTCGAAAAACTCGGGGGAACACTTGAAATCGTAAAGCGCTTTACGATTTCGCGCGAAGCTGGAGGAGTCGATTGCTCGAGGATGTCGCCGGCAAGGACGAGACCGCGAAGAAGCGGGATCGTGAATAATTCAACGATCGACCGGCCGATTCGACGGCGAGTCCTGGATCTGGCCTGAACGATCGGAGCATCGTCTAGTGGCGCAAAAGGACAAAGATCGCGCCGCTTGCGCTCGGCCGTGGGAGGGAGAGTGGGGGGAGGGGGGTCGTACAGTTTGCGCTAATGAACCAGCGAGCCTTTGTGCTGCTTTTATTCTCTTACGTCATCAGATTCAGCGGCAGCACGACCTGGTTGCCGTTCCCGGCGCGTAGAGCACGTAGGATGTGAGCGAGCGAGCGAGCCACGGGCGAAATACGGACGAGACCGACCTCTCGCGGCTCGTTCCGGAGATGGACCAGGTAATGTGTTTTTCCTCTGATTCTCTCTCTCCGAGCCGACACAAAGCCGACACGCACGGGACAATCCCGTCCTTTTGTCCGGCTCGGAGGCACTCGGTATAGGTTCAATTTCGGTACGGCCGGCTTAGCTTTCGTCTTTCCAGAAAAAAAGCTGCCCCTTCCGGCGAGACGGAACGCACGGCGGGATTTTCACCTTAACTCGAATTCCTTCGACGGGCCTACAATGCGCGACGACGACCTTCGGCAAGGCTGAGGCGAAGGAAGTGAAAAAAAGTCACGACGTTCGAAATTCTCCGAGACGACATTCGGAGAATCGCCGTCGGGTCCTTGGAACGCGGGTGGCTCGTCTCGCACGAGCTGAGAGCTCGCCGCGGCACCTCCGAAACAGCTGCTCCCGAAGACTCGGAGGAAAAAAACAGAATTCGGAACGCGGAAAGTCACGGAGAACCGCGCGCGATCACGTCGCGATAAGACGATATCCTCCCCCCGCCCGGCTTCTCTCAAAATACCCGAGAGCGTACATACGTCAAAACAAGCGGACGACGCGTCGTCTTTTGAGAAACGCGCGTATGTACGTACAAACAGAAGTTCGAAACTCGGCGATCCCGAGGAAAGCGCTGCACGTCCGACGAAGATAACGCGCGCGCGAAGAGAGAGAGAGAGAGAAAGATAGAGTATCCATAAATCAGAGCGAGAGAGGGCGAAGCGGCGGCAGAGGGGAGAGAAGGGAGGAAAGAGGCAGTGGTGACCCAGTTGATAGAAACGCGAACGATAGCGTCGGTCGCGCAGCGGGGCCGGGGGTGAGGTGAGTCGCACGTAACGGCGGTGACTCATTCTGCCGACTGCGACGGCACGTCGATCTTTGCACCCTTCCACTCGCGCTCTTCGCTCGTCCTAACACCCGCCGACCCCGCTGCACTTGTGTGTCGCCGGCTGTGTGTGCGAGCAGGCACACACACACACATGACATTTCGAGTATATCTCGAATTAAACCGTAAACACAACGTAGTACAACCTTCTCGCAACCACGCGGCAGGCGCCGACGATGTCAATGATCCCCTTTGCTCTGCCACCACTTATTGAATCGCTCGCGCGCGCGCGACCGCGTGTGTCACCGCCGTGTTTCTCTTCCGCCTCTACAGGGTGACCGAAAAGTCGCGCGCGTCCGTGCCCGGCGCGAGTTGCTGAGCTGCGAAGCGAAAGCGGCCGGTATTCACAGTCTGATCTTATAGTTAAGGTTTCAGCTTAACTTCCGTCTTCCGATGCTGTAAGGATCGTTTAATTGACTACAATGCATGTCTGAAGATGAACTTAAGACGGTCTTAAGTATAAGATCCGACTATCCCCTTGTCCACTATCTTGCTTTAAGTAAGCAATATCAAGTTGACCAGCTACGGTCGTTTATTGGAAGAATAATATAGGTTTGTTCGTTTTGGCCGGACTAGATTGCACTTTTGCCTTTAGAGTGAAATAAATGTACAACCCCGCAGAATTGAAGGGAAGTTTCAGTGCAATACTAGTTGAGCTGAAACCAACAGGCCCAATACCAATGTCTGTAGTTAATTCTAATCGTTCTTAGGGTGACTTTCGTTAAACTCTGGTTGAGCTAATTGACATAAAAATCGTTAGCACCAATTTTCAATTCTGTAACTTGTTCAACGATTGAGCAGGTAACACTTGAAACTGACAGAAATTTAAAATCGTGTATTGATAGGATTATGGCGGAGGTCATCCTTATTGTCTTAATTAGTGTATAGGATATGTAATTACCGGAGGGATGGCAGCTCATCAAACATGTATATTGTGATATACATTACATGTATATTTTGATGAGGAAACGGGATGAACTTTCGCTTCAACCCAATACATACATTCGATTTTATATTCTGTTTTGTTGAAAGTGTAAAGATTCGTGTTTAAAGACGAAAACAGTAAGAATGTTAACGATCGAGAAGAAGAGAAGCCGACTCTCGACATTTTATTAGACGATAAAGAGACAAGTTTTCTCAGAAACGGGAAGAATAATTACTCGACAAGCCTTCCGTCAGAATCGCGTAGGCTTGCGTTAATCCTTCGCTCAGAGAAATTGCTGTTGGTAATTCCGTCAATTAATCGTTGATTAATTCAATCGGGATTCAGTGTGTCACTCTTAAAGAACTCCTATCCATCGAGTCACCAATGCGCGACGAATGAAGCCTTCCCGCGGGTAGAAAGCACGAGAGACTCTTACAAAGCGACGCTTACAATCAGCTGAGGAAACCTCAAAGACTGCTCCTCGAAGTTCTCCTTTTTCAACTTTCGACCGTTAGACGCTTGTCCGACAGTTGATTATAATTAAAGCGAGGATATTCAAGGCGAAGTAACTTCGCTCAGCACTAATCGTCATTCCTCTCAATTCGCCGTAACAGTCAGCTGACTTCGGAGGGATATACCCGATGATGTTTGAGAAATTCATATTTCGTTAACACAATTGCCAACCGTTCGAGTAAATATTACCTGATCCAAGTACAGATTTCACGTCAGCTCACATCAAGTTGAAGTGCGTTATCGCTTCACAGAAGCATTCCACAATACTCGAAACCTGACCCGAGTCATCCAAGATTTTAACCTTCGCGCAGGTAGAATGGAAAACCTCGACGACGTCGAAATGACGAGAAAATACTCGAGTCATGGCCGAGAAAAAAATTTCACCCTCACTTTCTCGTCATTCCGACGTCGTCATCGTGTGATTCTCCGATCAATCTGGGCGCCCATTAATGTGGCTTTCCAAGACACAGTGTACGTTACATATGCATCGCCTCGTGTATTACGTAATATCTACCTGATTAGTTTTACGACGACGCGACACATTACGTATTATATACATACACGCGTGTGCATATATATATATATATATATATATGTCTTCACTTTCGGCTCCCACGCGTCACACTCGGTGCGTCGTCACGTCG